AATGCCTGAGTAAAACCCATACAAGTTTACATATATGTAAATTTAAGGAAATATAAATTGAAAAAAAACAATACTATCTATATGAGCAGCAGTACTGCATCAGCAAAATGGAGGACAAGAACAATTATGCATTAAAGTGGGACAGGCAGAACTTGTTTTGACCCTACATTAACTGATACACCAGCAGTCACAGTAGCAGCTGAAAAACTATGCAAACTTGACCTGAAAATGACAGCAGATGTGGAACCTCTGGCCCTATGGTGTTAATTCAGTTCATATTTTGCATTAATAAGACTTGTTACATGTTTTAACATACTACTGAAAATACAGTAGGTGTCAAAAGATTCTATTTTGCATAGTGTGGAGTTGTCATACCTTCAGTTCTCCTTCAGTGTGTGTTTCAAGTATACAAAGTTGGCAGTACTTCTGTTTATACACACAGGTGATGTGGATGGATCTGTTGAAGCTATTCTGAACATTCTGGATAGCTATGATGCTGATGAGGAATGTAAATTGGATATCCTTCATTTTGGAATGGGAGATATCAGTGAAAGTGATATAACCCTTGCTGAAGCATTTAATGGTATGTGTTTAAAAATCCTTTTACAATTAGTATAAACTCTTGAAATGGGTAAGTCTCATTCTGGTGTTGTTTTCTCAATAATAATTAGTAGCATCAATAAGGTAAACTTAAATCTATCTTGAAAATGTTTCCTTTACCATCAAACAATAGTGCAGGGGCACAGGCTGGAAATGTCATGAGAATGGAAGGACTCTGACCAGCTGTTGCCGGTAGTTGAATTGTTAGGGTTAAACTCTTGCCTCCACACCCAGCCTGCTTTATGATATTTAGACAGTGCGCAGCCAGAAGGTAGCATGGAAAAGCATTGTATTTTGCTGAGGGAAGTAATTGGAAGGACTGCGCCAACAACTAGTTCTACCCATTCGTATACTGCAGTTCTCACCTGCTGTAGAGGGTGAGAGGTAGTTAGATGTGCCATAGGACACAGGTGGCTAGGAATGATTTAGAGTTCACTTTCAGCTTTATGTGGTACAACCAAGCTGTTTTTCCAGCCCCAAAATGGGACATCCTTGTCCTTTATATGAGGTGTGGTGTTGAAACATTAGTTTCTGCTTTTGATACCTCCACTTCTGCCATCAGGGAACTTTCTACAAGGGCTTTTTTAAACCAGTTGTTTTGATTCAAGGTTAGTACAGTTGATATGCAATAATGGGAAAGGTAAATGGTCCTTCCTTAAAAGGGAAGTAGTAAAATGTTGTTTCTTGCATTGCTGACTGCTAATTCTCACCTGTGATACAAGTCCAGCATTACAGAATAGACACAGTAGATACTTTCAGTTACTGTCAAGAGTGATCTCTTGTAGTCATCAGTTGCTGGTTGGTTTTATTAGGTGTTGTATTTGGATTCAGTGTGAAAGCCAATGAAAATATTAAAAAGATGGCTGCTAAAAAGGGAATAAAAATTAAGCTTCACAATATCATCTACAAACTTATTGAAGACTTGAAAGATGAGCTAAACAGCAGACTGCCCCCAGCTGTGGTGGAGAACACAGTAGGTGAGTTTTCATTTTCTGTTAATTTTTTGCTTTTCCATGTGGCTTTTAAGTGTATTCTGAAATCGTACCTCCTATTTTATCAAATATTTGAAATTCCTGTGTAGCTGCTTTTCTCTTTTGTTACAAAGCTTGGTAAGTGGAAGAACGTACCTTGCTTTTACTACCAGTTTGTTATTCTCATTCACTTCATGCAACTTTATTTTTTCCTTTTAGGGGAAGCTTCTGTTCTTGACACCTTCTCTGTAACAGTAGGAAAAAACAAAATTCCAGTAGCTGGATGCAGAGTACAGAAGGGGATGCTAGACAAAAAACTTCAATTTAAATTAATCCGCAAAGGGGATGTTATTTGGAAAGGTAAGTAATTGCCACAGAACGGGTATTTGCATTCAATACTAGACACTGCCAGTCTCCTGTGAAGTTGGTGCAAAATGCACACATCTGATTGTAGAGCAATCAATCCCATATCCTGTTTAGGACAGAGCTGCTCCAACTAGAGCTGCAAAATGCCACTGTGTGGCCATCCAGACCTTTTTCTAACCACCAACTCTGGAAGAAATGCAGTAGCATCACAGCATTTACCTTCTAGAAAGGATGTCCATTTTCTATTAGCAGCAAGTGCTCACAGTCCTCTCTTGCTTTCATTTTGTAGCTACAGGCTGAAACACGAACTCTTTTAAGAAGGGCAAACTACAGTATTAAGCTCTGATGTTAGTGGGCTCCCTCATCTTTGATGCACTTTCTCTTTGTAGGATCTTTATCATCACTGAAGCATCATAAAGATGATGTCCAGGTAATAAAAATGGGTATGGATTGTGGATTGAGCTTGGACAAGTATATAGAATTCAATATTGGAGACGAAATTATCTGTTATGAAGAAAAAGAAGTTCAACAGACAACTTCCTGGGATCCAGGATTTTAACATACGTTAACACTAAAGGACATTTATTACTCCTGGCTGGCCTTCAGGTCTTAACATTAAACGAACTTTTGAGATGCACATGAGCTTCTTTATGCCTGATGTTTGTAACAAATGTTCTGCTTTTAAATCTTACCAAGCAACTGGTTTACCTCACTGAAACATGGGACAAGCTACAACAGTTAACTGCAAGCACTTCCAAGTGTCTAAAACCATCCCAGTGTATTTTTGGAGTTGTCTATTGGTTTCAAAATCGCTGAGCCATCTTGCTGCCCCTCTGTGCTCCTGTAGTTATTCAGGATGTAGTCTGCATGTTCTGAGCAGGACTCTGCTACCCTTTTATCTAGCACTGGTCCACTTGTAGGCACAACTTCAGACCCCTTGATCTCCCGTTTTTCCAGACTGGAACTACTGTACTGTCTACTCTTCTCATGTTTGAAGAGGCCACTCCTAAGGTTAGCTAGATTGTTTTTTTTCTTTTAATCTGCTACTGCTGGCCATTATCTCATGTCAGGGAGACTTAACTAACCAAAGCCACTCTTTAAAAGCTAGAATCAAAGTATTTCATGCTAGGTGGCAGTCAGCATCCAAAATTTCAGATTATTCTTACTTAGCAGCAGAGAGGAAACAGTGCCCTAGGAAGCAAAAATAAATCCTTAAAACTGTACAGAACTTCAGATTTTTATTGTCTAGTACATTTACTTGTCTTCGGGTTTATTGAAGCAGTATGTCAGACAGCACTTGCCACAATAGTGTCTGTCAAAGTGACTGGCCATGAAGACTCCAGCTCCACACTCCTCAGAGGGGCACTCCCGGCGCAGACGACTGATCTTGCCATTCTCATCGACCTGGGAAGGGCAAAGAGGCAACATCTCAGATAAACTTTGCCAGCTTTTAGCACCAATGATAATTTCAAGCATTTTTATTTAGTGAGATAGTTTTGGTGATTGTTACTACATTCAACCCTTGGAAGCAAAGTTCAGAAGTGCCCAGTTGCAACAGTCAGTTTCTCTTCTATATAACAGATGGGACAATTACAAATAGAAGAACTTTAAATAAGCCAGGCTACATATAGACTAGTAATAAGCTTCATGTCCTTCCTGGTCAGAGCTGAGTCTTTATCAAGTTACTCCTCACAGAGTTAGTGCTACACACCTTGTAGTACTTCAGCACTGCAAGCTTAACCTTCTTTCTCTTATGCTTGTTCTTCTTGGGAGTAGTGTAAGACTTCTTCTTTCTCTTCTTGGCACCACCACGAAGTCTCAGCACAAGGTGAAGAGTTGATTCCTATTTGTAAAGCACAAGAAACAGACTCAAAATGCCTTCACAAGACACAAGTGTTATTTAAGCAGGCTTCTTTTATCTACAGAAAGTAGATCTTCAGCACCAGGCAATTACAAAAGCTCTAAAAGGATTAGGTAAGCCTGCAAATGAGTAGAGAGAACAGTGGGCTGCTGCGTCCCAAACCGCAGAAGGTTTAATTATAGTTTCATGATGTAGTAAAGCCAAACTGACAGCTCTTTGTTACTCCTTGTTCCTACGGGCACTTGCTGGGCTCCCTGTCAGGTTAATCTGGCAGAAGTGTGAGCAGGAGTCTTCAAGTTAGCCCTGCAAAGCAGCTCACCAAGCAGCATGCCAAGCACCAGAGCTGGCCACAGGGAAGTGCTAGAACTAGAAGCTGGTAGAAACTTTCCAGTTCTAGTCCCAGCATAAGCATGTGCCAGCCAGAAGTGCTCTCCACCCCTAAACCAACTGCTTGGATGGAATCCATTTACAGCATTTGTTACACCCAGCAGAACGGGTCAGTCTGCTCCTGCAGTGCCAGCCAGCTGGTACTCCAGAACTCAACCTTTCCTACTCACTTTTTGAATATTGTAGTCAGACAGTGTGCGTCCATCTTCTAGCTGCTTCCCCGCAAAAATCAGTCGCTGCTGATCAGGAGGAATGCCTGAGGTGATGCAAATGAAGATTAAATGAGGAATGCTGGCAGTGACATTCTATATTAAAAGAACTTGCTGCAGACAATCACATCTGCACAGGGCCTGTATCCAACAAAGAGAGTAAGGACTGCAGTTTAAACTTACCTTCCTTATCCTGGATCTTGGCCTTTACATTTTCTATAGTATCAGAAGGCTCAACCTATTATGAAACAAAACGGAGCTAAATCGCACTTTGCCTTTTAATTTGCCCAGAAAAGCGGAGCAGCCACGCGGCGCTGCAGCCACGCCAGCGATGCAGTCACGGCCCT